ATTTTGTTCCATTCTTGTTTTTGTTTCTTCACTTTTCACTCCTTTCTTCTTCACCAGTATATAATCTTCACCTTATATAATCTTTTTCTCCCTCCTTGCTTCTAATCCTTGCTCTGCTTCCATTTCTCTATTTTCCTCCTAATTCCATTTAAAATTTCTCCACAGACAAAATATAACACAATTTAATAACTACAGTAGAAACACATTTTAGTTTTATAATAGTATTACTTTCTATACGCAGGGTAAGCACATGTTGCCAGTTATCATTTTCTTGGCTCTCATTCATTAACAGAATTTTCCTCAGCTAACTTTATGCTGAGCTATTGCCAATGCGTCATCATCAGTTGGATTTATTCGGTGAGATGAGCGAGGGAGGAGCACCCTGCTGAGCACAGTGCTCACAGATCTATTAGGTGCAGATCTAAAGGGTCTCACACGCATCCATCAAGACGAAGTTCTCAGCATAGAGCCTGGATTTTCTCCCTTCCAGGCCCCCTGGTTCCGCAAGGCTCTCAGCTTATGTCTTAAATTTACTTTTCACAATGATTCATGGAGAAAAGGTGGATTTGTCAAAACAGCTGCTGCGTGGTGGAAATGCCTCCGATCACGTGCAGTGATTCGGTGAAGAAGGGCGGGGTGTGGCCCATCTTCACACATGTGGGTTGAGTAGCATCAGTGTTGGTCTTGATCTCGGTGAATCCAGGAAGGATCACGGCAGAGGGCAGCACTTTGGAGTTCAGAAAAGAAGAGGCCCCAGCGTTGGTTTCTACTTGTAGGAGGCCTACTGTGAGGCTCTTCCCTCCCCTAACCCTGGAGCGGGCTGGTGCAATACACTTACATCTCTGCCTACCTTGCAGTTAACTTCCTGTTCCTCACAAGCATGAGACAACAGCAAAGTGATACTATTAAGATCTCAGTGAACATGGGGACCATGTCTACATGTTTGTAGGGGACAAAAAAGGCAGGAGCTGTGCTGGCATCAGCACTTGGCATGCAAGGACCAGAGCCAGAGAAGATGAGAATTGGCCAGGGCTTAGGAATGGGAATGCATTTGTAGAAAAGGGTCTCTGAGCTCATGAAGATGGGATCTCACTTTGACAGGCTTCCAACATTTTATTTAGAATGTGTGCTCTTAGAGTGAAGCACACTTCAGTTCAAGACAAGTGGTCTCTCAAGGCACACAGATTATAAGAGCAAATAGAATACCTGCTTTGATCCTATTCTTTCCCTTCACACCAGTGAATCCTCATATGTAAATTATTATTCAAGTTCCAGGTTCAAATTTCCCTCTTGTGCTGCGAGAGCTCACAGGGCTCTGCTAAGACTGGGTTGGAGAAGGCAGGGCTTCTGGTCTAGAAAGTGAGATTTCCAGGGCTGGTCCTGTACCTGGTGACAGCTTCCCTAGGTGAATATCACCTAGGTTAGATGGCCCCAGGGGAAGCAGTGAAAGCAAGTAACTGATCCAAACACCTTGTCCCCAGGTGTCCTGTCCCAGGTGCAGCTACATCATAGTGGACCTGGCCTGGTGAAGCCCTCGCAGACTCTGTCCCTCATCTGCTCAGTCTCTGGATTCTCAGCCACAGCCAATGCTTACTGGTGGCCCTAGATCCTCCAGATCTCAGGGAAGAGGCTTGAGTGGATGGAGAAATAAGTTGTGAAATAGCCACATTCCACCACCAGAGGAATGTTTACGAATGAGTTCTCCCAGCCTCTGAACTCTGCGACTCCTGAGGACACAGCCTTGTGTTACTGGATGAGAAGCACAGTGAGAGGTCCTCAGCGTGAGCCCAGACAAACCTCCTGCAGGGATGCTCAGGACCAGCAGAGGGCACCCAGGACACACGGAGCACAGGGAGTCGACTTTCAAGCAGTGGACAAAAGACGAAAAGGTTTTCTCTTGATTATCATCTTTCCCAGGACATTAGGGCGTGGAGTTTTAGGGAACTCTCCTGTCTCTAATCTTACACTATTGTGTGTTCGTGGAGGAATCCTTTTTTTAAAACATCTAGCTCATGAGCTACATTTTTTCCATACATTCTTGTTTACAAATCAGGCTACTACAATGTAACTCACTGTTTGGAAGAAATACTTAATGATTAATTACCCCCCCCCTATTAGGAGCCCATCTGCCATCCACTATTGACTGCATCCCCAGTCTTGTTTCATGCAAAACTTTTCTCAGAATGTTTGGGGAATAATCGCTATGTGGATGTGTTTGTCCACACATGGCTATAGATCCTTTACCTTCCCCTCAGAACCTGACAGAGGACTACTGAAGCTGCTTGCCTGCTGATTCAGGGGCATCTTCCCTGTCACCCACAACTCGCTCTCTGCTTCCTGCCTGCTTCCCTGAGTCCTCCTCATCCTCAGCCTGCTCTTCACCAGGGAGACTGTGGGGTCAGGTCCATCTGCTCCTAGCCACACTGCCCTGTGTCATGATGAACACTGGGTAGAAATCATGCAGACACTCCTTTCAACAGCACATGCATGGGGGAGGACTGCTAACTTTTTAAGCTTACTCAAAGTGGAAGAAGACTGAAATCAGTCATGTATGTTCAAGTGAATTTTCTTTTAAAAATAATTAGACAAAGCATTTCAAGAGCCATGAAGAGGGTCTGCCTGAATTTATGACCTCAGAACCATTTGAATCTGCAGATGCTGTTTTGGGCTGGTGCAGGATCAACCTCATGCAGAGAGGACCTGGGAGCCAGGGCTATGTGTCAAAGGGGGCAGTGGGTGAAAGACTTCTCCTAATGATAGTGTGGGGTCCACACTAGCACCCTGAGGTCTGGTCACCCTTGCTGACCATGGTCACACTTGTGCTGGCGCCAAAAGGCTGGGTGTGATGGGCAAAACACTAGAAGCAGCATCTTCCCTGTCCTATTAGAAAGTAGTTGGGGCCATGTGTGTTTCCTGGTGAGGATCCTACCCCAGTGCCTATCTGTGGAGAACTGAGAAGTCAGGCCCTAAGTAGGACATATATGTTTTAATACTTCTCATTTTTCCATTTCCACTTAGAATTATTATGCGGGTATTACCTCAAAGAACATGTTACAACTTCTAGGTGTCAGTTACATAATTTCTTGGATTTACGACCTGCGACTAATGGCACAGAAAAGATTATTTAGTCCACAGATCTCCCAGATACAGACTGGAAGTGTCCAGTGTATGTATCTTTAAAGACCTGGATGCACCTCCTTTATAAACCTTTTATTCTGTAAGGGTCCTGGCTTGTCTACAAATTCACATTTCACAAACCTCTACTAACAAGTAGAGAAAATAGTCAAATAATCCCTCTGTTTAGAGGAATTAAAATACAAACAAGTATATGCATAAGGAGATACAACCAGGTGAGATCCATGGTTCTGCCTGTTGTGCTCTGAAGTTGACATGGCAATGATATTGTAAGTACTCTTCATGCTGTTCTGGGAGAAAGCATCAAAGACGTCCATGAAAATTTGATGAAATATAGTAAGATCTAACCACTTTGCTTTGATTTAGAAATTATGTGCATCTATATACTGAGTGTCTTGCCCTCAAAGCTCTTCAATATGATGAGCATTGTCAGTCTTGTAGGAATTCATTAAGTGGACCTCAACTCTCCATTCCTGGAGAAGAATGTCACTGTCAGATCTCTCATATGTCCTGAAGATGTTGCAAGTAGTATAGAAATATGGAACAAAACAGTTTTAAAAACAGAGGGAAGTCATTGTGCTCTGGAACTGAATTTCTAAGGATGATGAGAAGAAGAATGGAGCCACAAAACAGGGGTGCTGGTACATACACACATTGCCAGCAAATGGAAGTCTTTAGAGATAGAATCACAAGATCAAGACTAAGATGAACTTAAAATTGAAACCCATCTTAATAAGCTGGGTGTGGTGGCTCATGCTTGTAATCCCAACACTCGGGAAGCTGAGGCAGGAGGATCGTTGCGAGTTCGAGACCAGCCTAGGCTACAAAGTGAGCTCAAGGCCAGCCTGAACTGGACAGTGAGATCCTGTCTCAAAAAGACAAAAAAGACCATCTTAATAAAACAAAACAAAGCAAATATATGTTATGAGTAGGCGTGGGGTCACAACCTTGTAATTCTGGCCCTCAGGAGGAAGAGGCAGGAAAAACACCACACATTCAAGGTCAGCCTACTGAATAAAAGTTTAGCCTCAGAGCCTGAAGTACAAAGTGACATCCTCTTTCATAAAAATGATCCAACAAAACGAATGTGGATACAACATGATTAGCAAGTGGCTGTTCAGGTTGAATTTTAGGGATATTGTTATTGTAGGGATGGTGTCCATAGTACATTGTTGTTCAAAAACGGACAAGTATAATGAGATAAACTTCTGGAATTTAGGGATACAGAGAACAAAAAGAGAAGCTGAACCTAAATAGTAACTAAACAAGGTTATGTGGGGGGGGACAGGACACAACACAGACCCCTCTTCCCAGATGATTAGAAACTTCTCTGTGAGGTGAGCACAGAACTCGCAGCCTTATTTCTGCTTTCTGTTGCCTCTGCTCAGGTGGGACTTGGATCACAGGAAGTCTTAGAGCAGGAGGCACGTGGACCTCTCCTGACAACAGAAATGACAGTGAAGGAAACTCTCAGGCAGCATGGATGGTTCCAAAGGCAACAAGTCAGAGAGACAAAGAGGGACCTGTGCTCATGTTAGCTCTGCAGCAGCAGCAGAGGCTGGATGGGTAAAGACTGAGCCTGGGGCGAGAGTCAGGAGAAGAGGCTGGAGGACACCAATCTGGGATTAGGAAGGTGGGGTCTTCATTGTCCTGCTTCCACCACTGCACTGAAATTAGCTTTTCACATATCACAGACATCAACCCATCTAGAATTCCGAATAAGAGGTAGCACAAAAGCACCAGAAATGTCTTGAACTCAGTGTCACCTTCAAATAGGAAGTGTGCTGTCTGTATGCAAATATAGGCTCCATCTCTAGATTCATAATCTGCTTGTGGGATGTGGGAGCTCACAACTCCATCTCCAGACAGGGCTGTGGTCTCTCAGGAAGGCAACAAGAAGATGAGACTGCTGGGTCTTCTCCTGTGCCTGATGACAGGTCCTCATGGTAAGTGTCCTCAGTGCAAGACTTGTGTCCTTGGGAATGTTATGAAAGCTGGTGACTGACTGGATGGTTTTTATTGTTTTCAGATGTCCTGTCCCAGGTTCAGCTGCAGGAGTCAAGGCCTGGTCTGGTGAAGCCCTCACAGAACCTGTCCCTCACCTGCTCAGTCTCTGGACTCTCTATCACAAATAGTCATTACTGGTGGGACTGGATCCGTCAGCCCCCAGGAAAGAGCCTGGAGTGGATGGGGGTGATAAGCTATGATGATAGCACTGGCTACAACCCATCTGTTAAGAGCCGCATCTCCATCTCCAGAGACACAGGCAAGAACCAGTTCTTTCTGCAGCTGACCTCTGTCACCACAGAGGACACAGCCATCTATTACTGTGCAAGACACAGTGATTTGATGGAAGTGTGAGCCCGGACATAAACCTCCCTGCTGGGAAACCAAGGACCTGCAGGGGGCATGCTGCACACACTTACTATAAGGAACCAACTTCACAGTAGAGGTAGGGGAAAGTCTGGGGATTTTCTCTGCATGTGAATAGCATCTCCATACTGGCACAGGTACAGAGTTTGATGGGCTCTTTAATGTCATTGGTCCTAAGTGTTATGTTTTTGTGGAGTCAGGCTTTGTTTCCCCATCTATTTGATTATGAATTGCACAATAAATTTTTCAATGAATCTGTTATTCACAACTCAACTGACTACACAGCCTCATTTTTTTATTGTAGAAACTTTTAACGATAAAAATTATTTCTGTTGACTGGAAGTCTGCCTTCCATCCTCTAATGCATCTGCGTGGCATTTCATCCTGAAGGCACTTTCCAATTCTGTTCATGTAGAGACTTACTCTGAATGCCTGGATATAACTGTGTGTGTTGATCTGAGTGTTTTCCTGTCATTGGAGCTGTTCATGGCAATGTAGGGCGATGCCTTGGAGAGCTATGGTAGATTCTATTGTTGAGGGGCCTCTCTTGGCATCTCATTGGTAAAGATCATCACGCTGTCACACATCTTGCAGTAATAGGGTACTGCCCAAGCAGGGTTTATTAGGACCTAGCATCAGTAGTAGTGAGTCTCAGAAACTCTCATGGAATGTCTTAAATATCATGTCTATTTGCACTGCAAAGTGAATTTTCAGGATGGATCTAGGAGGCTATTGTGGACATATGAACCTGCGTTGAAAAAGTGTGGAAAGATATGAACTATTAGGGCCAGGGGTTTAGCTCAATGACATATGTGCCTGCCTGGCAAGCACAAGATTGTGAGTATGATGCCCCATACTGAAAACAAAAAAAGATGTTTGAGGAAACTGGTTTCAACACTGAACAGTTTTTCTTTGAAGTTATTTCATAATTGATGCATGCAAATTTTACATTTCTTGAGAGGTTTGGGGAGTATCAAAGATGGTGGAGATAACAACTGGCTTCAGAAGCTCCCTGAGATAGTCAACTTAGAATTCAACATAATACAGAGTGGGGAGCCCCAAACAGAGGGAAATGAATTCTCTCATCCCAAGAAGAAATTAAGGTGACTTGCCGACCATCCGAGGTCCTGCAGCAAGTGGCCGACGCCATGACTTGCTGGTGTCCCACCGCTACTTGCCGAGGTCCCACTGTGACTTGCCAGGGGCCCATCATGACTGCCTGGGGTCCCGCCACAACTGCCTGGGGTCCTGCCGTGACTTGCCAAGCTGTCCAAGGTCCCGCTGCTTCGACTCACTGGGGGCACAGTTACATTAAGTTCAAGGGTCAGCAAGCCGAACAGAGAGCTGAGTTGGCAGGGACCCTACATCAACCTATGGTGAGTGATGGGAGTGGACCATTCCATAAATAGGGGGCTCCTGTGGGGGGACATGCTGGGACCGGGCAGGACTGGCAAGTACCAGGGGCAGCAGTGACTTCAGTCAATTGTTCCTTTCGCAATGGGATTGGTGGAGTGAGCTAGGCCTAGGTCACATGACCCTGCTGAGACCCAATAGGTTATATGAGGTCAAGTCCCTGCAGTGGTGGCACACACTAACCACACTGGCCCAGTGGGGCCTCAGAGGTTTGGCTGGTCCGGAGGGGAGGTGGCACAAAGTAATACAGTAGTGCAGGCCACAGCAGCTTGACTGATCTGGAGGGGAGGGGCCGGCATATGCTGTCCCTGTCTGCAACTCACTAGTACACTGCATTGGGAAGGGTCATCTAGCCAGCGTGCTTTGGAAGAATTGTAATCAACAAAGAAAGAAACTGGGGCCTCCTGGAAGAAGCAAAAAAGATGGGAAGAGGAAGTAACAACAAAAAGTTCCCAGCCACAACCGTGAGAACATTGACCCAGGGCAGGTAAATACAAAGGAGAATGAGAACAGCAAACATGCAATATCAAACACAGTGCCAGGGGACATAAAGAGATATATTCGGGACCTTATAGATGAGTTCAGAAGTGAAATATTTAGCCAAATAAAGCAAGATATAAAAAGATTAATAAAAGAGATACTGAGCACCCCTCAAGCAGACACAGATGGAAGAAGGGAGGAACTCAAACATAGGAGAGAACCATTTGGTGAAGAATATAAAAAAAACTATAGAATACATGAAGCAGATTCAAAGAGATCACCAGGAAATTAAAAACTCTATGGAATGATGGCAAATCAGCTTGAAAGTAACTAAGGATAGATTATCCAAACTGGAGGACAATTTTGCAATATGGGAGTATGAAAGGGAAAACTTTTTTAAAATCACAAGGAAACAAGCAGTAACAATACAAAGGCTAGAAAATGACAAAAGGATCTATAACTTGAGAATAAAGAATGTGAAGGAACAAGAGACATTGTTGATAACCATTGTTGATAACCTTGTACTCTGTTTTATATCATGTGCTATGTCTATCCTTGGTTTTGACTGACAGCTTTGTTTTGCCATATTTGACTTTATTCTCTCCCCCCCAAAAAAGTAATAAGAACTAAGGAGTAATAAAATCCAAAATGTGTAAATTTTGTTGTAAAAAAGAGAGGGGGAAAAAAAGAGCTCTAATGGATATAACAGCAAGTGTGTTTAGGGGTGTTAAATAGCTGACTATATTAATGTTTTTGGATCATTGAACACAGCTGTTTGCAGTCTCTCTGTTTGAATGTCCACTTTGTATTCTTTGATACTGTGATTTGGGCAACTATTTCTAAGATGATAATATGTAATCTATTAACAGGTGATTTCTTACTGTTTTTTTTTTTGTAGTTCTGTATTATGTGTACCCTTACACCGCTTTGTTTTGTTTTGTGTTTTTCTCTTTTTCCTTTTAAATAAAATTTAAAAAAAAAGAATGTGAACAAAGAAGCTGGGGTACAAATGAAGGAACTACAAAGGTTATTCAGAGAAATAATTAAGGAAAACTTCCCAAACATAGGAAAAGGAAATGATATTCTGATATATGAGGCATACAGAACTCCAGCCACCTACAACTAAAACAGAGCTACACCCAGGCATATAATAATCAAGATCCTAGAAATTCAATATAAGAACAGACTATTAAAAGATATTAGAGACAAGAAACAGATAACCTACAGAGGAAGGCCTGTCAGAATAATGGCAGACTTCTCGACACAAACCATCAAGTCAAGAAGAGCCTGGAGCAAAATATTCCAAGCCCTGAAAGAAAATAACCTCCAGCCCAGATTGATATGCCCTGCTAAACTGTATCTAGAAATTAATGGAAAAACAAGATGCTTCCAAGACAAAGAGGACTTGGGAAATTTGCAACCACCAATCTAACTCTACAGAGAATACTGCAGGGCATTCTAGAGAGAAAGAAAAGTACTAGGATTCCAGGAACAGTGGCAGAGAGGCCTCAATGAATGGATCAGAAAATATAATGAAGAAGATAAGCAGACAACTGATGGCAAACAAGAGCATAACAGAAATGAGGCAGAGAAGATTTTATTCAAAACTGATATGGTTGATAGTATCAAGTCTGAGTATAGGCAACTACACTGAAGATGACAAGACTCAATGATACACATTCTGGTTTGATAACTGCCAGTTTTTGAAGTTCTATACTATTTACAAAGTTGTGCTTTTATTAATATTATGTACTGATATATTCAATTATACTATTCTGATGATATAGCCAATTCTTTTGGAGATAACAAGAGATAACACAGGAACTATCGTAGAACGACTTGTACAATGGTCTCATATGTTTATTTCACTTTATGCGTTTATAGGAATACGTTTTGTTTTGCCTTGCTTTGTTTTGTTTCTCCCTCTAATATAGAAAGGATAGAAATATATGTTAAGACTCATGCATGTATAGAATCTATAAACAGTTTATGAGAACTGGTCATATGACACATGATGAAATGAACAGATACTTTGAAGAAAAAGAGACACTAAAATACCCAGTGCTGATCCTGGAGTGTCATAATGTGAAACAATAGTATTATTCTTTGTTCAGAGTGATATTAGCCTGCTTGGGTTTATTCAATGTCAACATAATTGAAGATATGGATAACTGCATGTATGTTTCAGTGTATAGGATTGATAACCATATTTCTAAGTTTTTGTTGGATAGTTCAACAGAACTGGTTGCAATCTCACTATTTGAATCCCTACTTTATAAGCTGGTCTTTAGTATCTTGAATAACTATTTGTAAGAAGACAATCTGTAAACTTCAACTAGTGATTTCTTACTGTTTATTTTTTTCTTTGAAATTATGTATTATTTCTATCCATTTTCTGTTTTGTTTAGTCTTTCTGTAAATTAAATTTTAAAAAAAGACACTACAGTACCCAGTGCTGATCATGGAGTGTCATGATGTGAAATTCAGCAATACTATTATTCTTTGTTCAGAATGATTTTAACCTGCTTTAGTTTGTTTAATCTAAACATAAATGAAGCTATGGATAACTACATGTGTGTTTAAGTGTATAGGATTGGCAACCATGTTACTAAGTTTTTGTTGGACAGTTGAACAGAACTGTTTGCAAACTTACTGCTTGAATTCCCACTTTACATGTTCCATTGTTGTATCTTGAACAACTATTTGTAAAATGACAATATGTAAACATCAACTAGTGAGTTCTTCTCATCTATTTTTTTCTCTGATCACATGTATTATTTCTACCTGTTTTCTGTTTTGTTTAGTCTTTCTTTAAATAAATTTTTTTAAAAACTATTTTTAAAAATTTTACATTTCTTCATCATTTTATTTTTTTAGAAAGAATAACAAGTGAGGAAGCCCCTTCCTTTGTCTGGAGGACTGCATATCTCTGCAAGCAGGGAGGGATCGCAGGTTCCTGAGACACCTCGGCCTGTGGTGAGTGCTCAGCACACTCTGCCCAAATCTCAGACTGTTCCAGACCCCCCAGGCTTCCGGGTGCAGTGAAGTGGAGCAGTGGGTTAGAGGCCACTACATCTGCCTCCCCATCCTGGCTG